ATTTATTAATTTTTTTATGATAATAATGTACGTTCATTATTGTTACTTCAGTAAACGTGTTTGCGTCATTCACTTTTTTCGGTTAATTTCCATTTGACAGATTCGGTTATTATGTTTGACACATGTCAAAATTGAAACGTCAATTAAACAATGGTATTTAGAATGTACCAAATGTTTTATATTGACAATAGTTATATAAAAAAACTGATACCAACTTTCAAATGAGAACTCTGATTTTTAAGTGCTGGAAAATCCCTTTGATAAAGAGACCGTAATAGAAACGAAAAGATGTGAGTGTAAATGCTTTTGCGGTGATTAAGCCGAAAACCCACAAGAATGGAAAGGCACGTTCTGACGAGATCTAAATTGAAAATTTCCGAAAAAAAAAATATAATAAATTTGGAAAGAAAGTTGACGATGATCGATCATAAACCCAAATCAAATACGGATCCCGTTTCATTCCGAGAAGCATCGACACTTATCTAATCCATTGAAAAAGGAACTTTTCTTTCTACCTTCTCACACTTCTATCTGGGTTCGGTTACGACCGGGGGATTTACAAAACCGAATAATCCCAAGATGATAAATCGGAAATTTCGCTCAATTAGTTTCAAGTATTTAACTTTTTTTTTCTTCTTCATCTTCACTACGTTTTTTTACTTGTTTTAAAATAGAGAGAGAAACCGATGTACAGTTCGAAAACGATTATGAAATAATCAAGTCGGCGTCGTGATAATACCGTATTTTCTAAATGGGAGTGCATTTGGTTGCCTATACACAAACTAAGTTTGAATGATGAAATTCGCTGAAAAGTTGATGAAACCGCAATTTCTCCAACTTTTCCATCAATTTTTACTGTTCGTATCTTTATGTATATATATATATACAGGGTGATGCAACGTTTTTATTTTTTTCGAATCATCGTTATTTATAAGTTTTGAGATTTCCCAAAAGGAATTTCAATAAAAACTTGACGTCATTTCTCTCGATCACAGAAACGAAAAAAAAAGGTTAAAATTTAAGAAGAAAACATCGAATCAGAAACAAAAGATTTTTTTGATGGTGAGAATGTCGGAATTCCCCAAGGCACCCCAATTAAGCAGTCCGTTTTCAAAAATTATATTAAAAAAAAACAATAAAACGTTGTAAAGACGTTGTTGTTTTTAATTTATTCGCCCGGAATCCAGTTTAAAAATAGAAATTTTTATTATGATTTTAAACAAAAATTCGTGATTCGACGAGACGAAGACGTGTCCTTTTTGTTTTGTTCGTCGATCATCCTCGAGTTCAACGTATCTGCAGTCACTCAATTTGACGTCTGTCAACGTAAATGATTGTATAAACGTCAACTGTCAGTGAAATGTCATCTTGAATTTTTCATCAGTTTTTGTTTTACTGTCTGTCACATTGACGTCTGTCACATTAATTCTTGTTTATTGATTTTTGTTTTCTGGTTTATTAACAAAGTAATAAATGACGAATTTACTAAAAGAATTGATGATCCAATTGATATTAATTATTTCAAACAAAAAAAAGTTGATAATTTGAATGCGCAAAATTTATGGAAAAGTCAACAGAATTATGACACCTGTCAAACCAATAAGCTTATCGCCGCATGTAAAACACACACACTTAACGTAAAACAATGGATCGAGCGCAATCGTTGATCTTTCGTTGACGCGTATCATCGTTTGGGAAATTCCGATGGACGAGACAAAGAGAGAAATACAAGAAAGAGAGACGAAGTGTTTGCTATTTTTTTTTATTTGTTTCGGGCTTTTCCGTGCACGACGCTTTCCCAAAAACGGATTCGCTTTGCGTCTCGAAAACGACGTAGCGCAGTGAATCACGGTCGCATTTACGATGTTTCACACTTCCACTTTGAGTCGAGCTCCTCGATTCATTCAAAAACAACCTGCGATTCTCGGTAATCCTCGATTGACGATCAAAGTGTAACATAACATATTTTATTTACTTG